TGTACAACTTGTTGCATTACTGCAGGATCCAAGTTAACGGCTTGACCCAGTTTAAAGATGCCAGCATTATTCACCAATATATCAACGCCACCCAATTCTTTGATGATCCAATCGAACGCCTTATCCACCGATTCTTGTGATGAAACATCGCAAACGAAAGGATGGAAACGTTTTTGTTGTTCAGCTGGCAATTCAGCTTTATATTCTTCCATCAGCTGCAGTCGGCGGGCAAGTCCCACCACAACAAGATTAGCTTTAAGTAAATCTTTGACTGTGGCAGCGCCAATGCCTGAACTAGCACCAGTAACTACAGCGACACGACCTTGCCAGCGTTCCATTATGATTTCACTTGAGTTGACGAGGAGGGTCGCAGAAAAGTTTAACAAAGTAGTTACGCTTTTAATCGAAAGTGCAATACTGAAAGAACTTTGTGATCTTTGATGACTTTTATGGCTTACAGCTAAATACATACATATGTATATGTACATATTTTTATCTAGTAATTTAAAGTGGTTCTTCTAGATTCCTATACTGATACATACATACATATTAATGTACCTTGGAATAGAGAATCGTGGGCAAGGCGTGAACGTTTAAGAGAACACCTTTGAATCTTTTATGAGAAGTGTGGTGAATAAATTATTTAGAAAATGCCGGAGCTAGTATAAGAGAAACTTAAAGCTCAGTTAGTCAACGACGTAGCGTAAATGTCGGTTGACGTACGTAGCAGCATATAAAATTTATGTTTGCGCTTTTAAGGTTCCAACAGTCAACGACGTAGCGTAGACGTAGGTTGACGCAGACACGATCTACCTTATAGGATTCGCGCGTTAACGAATACTCACCACCGCATGACGCTGCCGTTGCCATTGCTTCTCTCTCTGTCTCTCTCTATCCACAGTAAATTGTATATGTTGCTACGTACGCCAACGTATGCTTACGTTACGTCGTTGACTATTTGCGCTTTTACAGGGCAAATCTGGTAACTGTTTTTCAACTCACCACAGTCTTTCGAGAAACAATCGTTATAATGTTCGCTTTAAGTAAAATGTTTTCTAGGAAATAAATTTAATTTAATAAAAGTATAAATTTAATTTTAAAAAAGTTGATATATTTTTCTTTGTAAAACCATAACAACTAATTAATAAAAGAAATTAAATTAAAAAAAGAAACCAACTGAAAATAAAACACATTTTTATTTAAATATTTTAAAAATTAAAATGAAATTAAACAACAAAATGCTGAATTTAAATTAGAAAAATAAAAACTGAAACCAAACTAGGAAAAAAAGTACCAACAATTTTATAAATTTAAAGAAAAAATAATTTGATTTTTAAAACAATATCTAAAAATTAAAAGATCACTAAATTAAAAAAGACAAAAAAAGCAATTTAAAAATAAAATGAGATCCCAAAAATTAGATTACCTAAATAAAGAATTTTTGTTTCTTTTAAACAAGAAAATCTAAAAATTTAAATTCAAAAAAAAAATATGAAAAAAAAATTTAGTATCAAAGAAGACCTGTATTCGAATAGAGGTTTATTACAATGATCGTTTCGGTCGCGGAAACTAGGTGGTTCTTCGTGGGGAGGAAGCTCGAAAAGCAGAAATCCGAAATGGCCCAGAAGAAATTTTGAACAAAAGTGAATTTACACTAATTCCACTGACATTATTGCACGTAGGTAGAGCTTTAATTTAGAAATCACTATTTTCACTGTCACGTTCAATGGCATTTGTTTCCAAATGGGATGTTTAAAAAGCGGTCAGGATAGGTCTTTTTGGCCTCAATATGATTTCCATGGGTATGAATAAAGGAAATAAAATTGTGTCAAAATACATACATACATATGTCGACAAGTTTTAGCGTGAAAATTTTACATAGTGAAAATTAGCCTTAAGCCTTTGTCGAGAAAAGCTCGAACATGTAGAGCCGACTGTCTTGGGAATGAGAATACACCATCCGCTGAACCACACCGACTATAAAAACACACTCCTCTCAATGACTATAGCACTTTTGGATTTGGGCTAGCCAATTCTGGGCCAATTCCGTACCGCTAGTTTCTATTTCAACGGCAACTGCTCCAATTTGTTCTCCTACATGTTGTCTAAGCGTATAGCAAACACCAGCAGGTCTACGGTCTTACTGAACTATGCACTGAACTCGTGTCAGCACGCATACATATATGGCGGGCCGCTCCACTGAAACCGCCCCGGACAGTGTACTTCAGGAAAGCTTAGAAATAATTATACAGCTATATGTGCTTTTCAGAACATCGAAGGGGAAGAAAGGAGCATCAACCCTCTGCAGCATTCTCTACCCTGACCCAAGTCTTGAGCAATCCAAAGTACTTTTAGGAACATATAACCTCAAACGCTATAAGGAATGCATGAACTTAGGCAAGCATAACTTAAGAATTATTACACACACCCTGAAAGGACATTGCAGGCTAACCTATCACCTGACGAAACTGGGTATTTACTCGCAGGAGCGAGACTGCGCAGCAAAAGTTAGGATCGCATCCTGCACTGATGCACAAACGCAAAAGACACCTGCGGGAACACTTAATAACCGAGCGCAAAGTGAACCCCGTAGATTTAGGCTCCATACTAAAGATTCTCTCGGATACTGGGTTAACAGACGCACTATAAATCCATAAGGGGGCACAATAGATCTTGGAGTCGCAGTGCTTTACCCCAAACAATAATAATAACAATAATACTCTCGTCAGTCCAATTTGAATAAGATGCCCGACGACACTAACCACCTCTTTATATACCCACTCACATCAGCTCATCTAACATTCACCTTCTCACGCCCAAACCAGTCGGATTTGACCTTTAACATAAGAATAAAGAATGTACCCTCAGTTGATGTATTGACTTCGACAGGGTTTAGTAAGCCGCTACAACACAAAAAAGAAACATCGCCAAGACCAGCAGTAAGTTATAGCCCCTCTCGACTCTCTTTAAATTGCGCCAGGATCCGACGTTGAGACCGCTGTTCTGCCTCTGTACGAAATTCAGTACCTTCATGGTTTCCATGCCAATGGAGTTTGGAAAGTAGCCCACTGCGACGCTGGAATGAGAAATTTTTGATTCCTCTGTAGCCCACAGTGCAACACCTCCACAGGGTAACAAGGGGACCATGACTCTTCAGTCAAGTTCTGCTCACAGTGCAGTACAAGATATCCTGCCTCGTATACAGAAGCCATGAAGGTTGGTTTTATCGCCAGGTACTTATCAGCCAGTATTTTCCCCTCGCAAGCACTTCCATCTTCACCCCTACAGTAAACATCCTTAAATGAGACAGAGGTCTGTCTCTTAAGTGTCGCAGAAGGTGCAGCCTTCGATGACGATGGTTCTTCGTGCATCGGCCGCTTTTTGAGGCCACCATCTGACATACGCTTCTCCTACGTTCAGCCTTTTCTTTTGGAGGTGTTGGTAGCTCTTCTTGCCAGATCCCCTGAGCTTTTTGTGTGCCTCAATGGGCCCTTCTTTTTTGTCAGCAGGTGCTGTCTGTGGATCAGATTGGCTTGCGCCATTGTGCTCTTGAGGGGTAGGCGGCTCTTTGAAGCCATCGTGGCCGCTTACGCCAGTTTCATTATTTTTTTTCACTATTATTATTAGTGTTCTTGTTGTTCCCACGAGTATTAGGGTCACTTGTTCCGCTGCTCCAGAGCCACTTAGCGCAGTAAGGCATTTGTTGAAATAGGGCCGCACCCGTGCACCCCAAGTCCGCATAGTAGCGACTAGGTACCCCCTAACCATGCATCCCTTCGCGCACGCTGTTCCACCTTGGATTCGGGAAAACGTTTTATGACGAGCGTCGACGTCCCGCATGATCCAGTTTATAGGTAGAGAAACAGATACATGACCGTGTTACCCCCCTAGCTGCGGCTACCATCTGGGTGAATGGTACGGATCACACTTCCTTAGGCACTTCCAGATAGCAGACCTGGACTTCCTGAGGCCCCGAGGGACTCATTTAATACCTGCCAAGCCGAGCTGCCTGCCACAAGTGCAGCCACCATGGCAACATTTATGCATATTATTGAAAGTGTGTGAAATAAGGGTAAGACCACCGCTGCTTACCATATAGCAGTAGTTTACACAAAGGTGAGAAGCCTACTTATATTTACGATGTACGTGCGCTGTGTAATTAATGTTCGGTTTTGCCCTAACATAGACCTCTTTACACGTGTACTCTTAAAATTGGGCAAAAAAGAGCTGGGCGTGTATCTTAATCTATTCGTTAATATTCCAATGCTTTTTTATTTCATCGTATAGATACTAAATAAAACATAAGAGTAGAAATACAATATATACATGCATACAAATATACTTAAATGTATGTACATATGTATATTAATATTTAATATATGTGCATATGTGTGTGAAACATAAGCTAAAATATTTAATTACCCGCCCAGTGTTGGTATCACAGTAATCTCCTGTATTTGCATGTGTGGCGGTGTAGAAAGAGTGAACAAGATGCAGCTGGAAATATCTTCTGATCTCAGAATTGGAAGTCCAGCGTTTTTGAATTGATCCGGAACGATTTCTGTATCTGTTAAACCGGGGCTAACGCTCTGAAATTATAAATAACCACTTTGTTTAAATGAACTTGCATTCATACATGCATCTTTACATACATAAATTTGCATGCTGATATGTACATATGTATGTCCATTAGACTGTACCAGAAAAAAACATTCGCCATGCAACTTCGAATCTAAAGCATTTTTAACCGACTTCCAAAAAAGGAGGAGGTCGGAAGTCGGAATATTTTTTTTTTTTATGTAAATATGTTACCGCATAACTTGGGACCACGTCAACCGATTTCGATAATTCGTTTTGCATCGGAAAGGTAGTGTCTCAGTGGTAGTCCCTTACTAACCTGATTAAGATCCGATCAGTGGATCATGAGATATATATATATATATATTTTTTTTTTATATGAGAGTTGAAGTCGGTTTTTTTTTGCTAAAAATTACTTGTTGCAACGCAATTTCGAAAAAGGGTCCTTATATCTTCGCCATTTACAGTCGAATCTTAAAGTATGATATATCGATGTTCTTGTGTTAAACAGACAATTTCTTTTATTGCAGAGTTCATTGACCTCAAGCACCCCGGTCTTGTATCTATCCACCAGATCTCAGCTCTTATCGCGAAAAACGTACCACCCTAATGCCAGTAAATTAAAGTCATTAAACTTTTACTGAGGAATTATTTCGATTATTCCAGGAGAGCTATGTATTTTGAAAAAATAAATAAAATTCATGTGGAATGTAAGTATGTATCACCGAAGAATGTAAATAGGCGACCGCAAGGTTCGGCAAAAAAATATTTTTTTGCTTGTAAGACGGTACGGCCTAATGTACATACATATGTATGTATGAATGTTTGTATGTATGCTTGCGCAT